ATTTGAGGTGTAAGGAGGTCATGTCCAGGAGCTTTACGGGGGATTAGTTTTTTTAATTGAAATTTTACTTCGGAAGGATGAATAGCTTTTGGGGGCAAGGAAAGTGGGATTGGTGATGTAAGGAGTTCTTCTACTGTTACGGTGTGGGCAGGATGGGATTCCGGATGTGAAATAAATGTATTGGATAGGTGAATGGCGAACTCCTCAGCTTTATCTTCGTCAGATGCTGCCCAGGAGCCATCACCTCGTCGGAGAGGATGGGAAATGCGGTGAGGATTTAGGATTTTTGTTGTGGTTTTCCAAAGGGAATTGTCGCGAGAAGAGAGGGAGGATAGGTAGGAGTTGAAGGATTGTGATCTGAAGGTGGCTAATTCCAGTTTTAATTGTTTGCCGTAGTAATTATAGGAGCAGCGGTCGGTAGGATGTCGGGTACGTTGCCATAATAATCTGGCACGGCGTTTGGTGCGGATTAGGTTAAGGAGGTGTTGGGGTAGAATGGTCTTTATAGGAATTCTGGAGGAGTCTTTTGGGAAGGAGGCAGTCCAGGCGGCTTGTTGGATTGTGGTAGTAAAGGAATTTACGGCACTATCAAGGTCATCGGGAGTTTTGAGGGATATGTTGAGATCAATATTATCGGAGATTATTTTGCGGAAAAGGTCCCAGTTTACTGGGCCCCTAATGAATGACGGTGGAGAAGGTTTGGGAACAGGTTCAAGTGAAACATTAAGGATTAGAGGACTATGGTCAGAGGAAAGTTCATTTAGACGTTTAATGGAACAATTGAGGGGACTTAAGCCGCTGTGGATAAAGAAATCAAGAAGATCAGGATTACGGTTGGGATCTGTGGGCCAGTAGGTAGGAGAGTTGGGGGAAAGGAGGTGAAAACGTTGGGAATTGAGTGCAGACAGCAGGGTTCGGCCACGAGAATTCGTGGTTCTGGAACCCCATTGTTGGTGCTTGGCATTTAGGTCTGCACCCAAGATGAAGTGATGTCCTAAGGAGTCGAGGAGAGAACTGAATTGGGCATTGGATATGGATCGGTTAGGAGGGCAATACGCTGATGCAAGAGTGACCGGAAAGCAGAAGGTTTTTATCACGATAGCGGTGGACTGTAGGAAATCATGTATTGGTAATGGGAGTACGTGATGGGAGAGGGATTGGTGTACAATTACAGCAGTACCGGCATGTGCTTTTCCGTCAGGGTGGTCAGTACGATATGTCAGGTATTGTGGTATATTGAAGTGCTGTTTAGTGGTTAGTCGAGTTTCAGTAATTAGTGCCACATCAATGTTCTTGTCAAGTAGTAAAGTAGATAGTTCGTCTGTATGATTTCTAACACCATTCGCATTCCAAAGGAGAATGGATATGGGTTTAGGGATGTGAGTCATTTAAGGATTTTTCAAAGGAGGGATGAGGTGAGATACGAGATTCGTGAGGAGTGATATGAGTGGAGTAACAAGGGATTTGAAATCGGTGAGGAAAGATGCTAACAAACTTGTGAGATCTGTTGCATTTGAAGGAGGAGGAATATGAGGAATTTGTTGTTGGTGGTTAGGTATATTAGGATGAAGAGGATTTTGAGGTTGGGTTTGAGGTTGTTGTGGCAGGGCTTGACATTTATCGGTTAAAGTCTTACCTCTAAGTAGTTGGGAGAATGATACATCATTGTTTACAATTCTGGAAGGCTCTCTCTCTCTTCTTGTTCTTAGTGCTTCATCTTGAATCCGGTTTTTCTGGTGTCTGGTTTTGAGATTCTTGTAAATTTGGCAGCCTTTGTAGTTGGCCGGGTGTCCCTCCAAGCATAGGGCACATACTGCTGGATCTTGTATAGGTTTGGTGCACTCTACAGATTTGTGCTGTTCACCGCACTTCACGCAACGCGGCAGATGGTGGCAATATGTCTTCGTGTGGCCATAGGTCTGACAATTATGGCACTGCACGATGTCTCTCTTGGGATATGGCTTCTCAACTTTCACCATTGTGTAGTATATTCTTGTGATATCATATATTTTTTCGATACCTGGTGATGGCTCCAAGTCCACGAAAAACAATGGTAGTGGGATCCTATTTCGTAATCCTGGCTGCTCCCTGTCCTCCTTCAAAACGTTTGTTACCTGGCGTACATTGAAACCAAGCGTCGTTAGTTCTTCTTTAATAACTTCAGTGGGGGTTGAGGAATGTAAATTTCTTATCACTACTCGTAAAGCTCTTTCCTGCCTCAGCTGGTAAGTGTGAAAATTCGCATTTGTTTCTGATAAGTACTTCACTATTTTTCGGTAGGCTTCTGCAGAATCAGGTGTTATTTTGGTGTCATTGGTCCTGTTAAGGCATGAATAACTGCCAGAGCAGATTTTATTTAGTTGGGTGCAGAACATCTGGAAATTTTTTATATTTTTCACAAATATCGGAGGAGGCTTTGGTTCTCTGGGTATTGCTGCAGACTCCATTACTTCTCTGTCATTTTGAAGCACTTGGTAGGGGTTTGGAGTAAAGAAAGGTGATTCTTCAATCGTTTCTTGTGCAGACGTACCTGGTTTGGGCTGAGGTTCTGGTTCTGAAGTGTTCATTTTGGTCACTGGAGGTATTTCTCGTAGGCAGCGACGAGTCCTTTGTTTGGCTGGTGAGCTAACTCCGTCTGACCGAGACCTCTTGGGCACCTTACTGGCCATCACTTGCTGATCATACCGCATATCATAAGAGAAAAATAAATAAAAAAATAAAAAAAAAAAAAAAATTTTTTTTTTTTTTTTTTTTTCTTAAAATAACAAAAAAAAAGATGCCAACAGTAAATATCAACTGCTCTGATATACACTTAACTGTATCACGTGAATAATCAGAGAGATTCCGCTATAAAATTGGTAAAAACTGAGAGAGGAGTTGAGGAGACAACCTTCTCATCAGCTGATCCACTGCCTTCTCCTCACAATTTACTAATAGAAAAAAAAAAAAAAAAAAAATCTTTAACTGTTGTGTTTTTCATTGACATTCATTTCATTTCGTGTTGTGTTCTCCATTGACATACCTGACAATTTACTAATAGAAAAAAAATCTTTAACTGTTGTGTTTATTTGCCATTAATTTTTCCATTTTTCTTAACAAATTGATTATTTTCGCAATACTTTTCCTAGATTTTTGTATGTAGTTGACTTATATTTTTCTAACTTTGGTCTAAACGATTTTCAGGCAATAGGAAGTAATTATTCTATCTCAGTTTTTCTCTTGATGCCCAATATTATAAATGACAATGTCCAAATAAGCATATCTATGCTTTTTCTTTGTTTACAACTGAGCTAAATTGGTATCAGCAACGATAAGTAATGATTGAACGTGTAGGGGTCTTCATGATCAAAGCGATCGCGGGCAATCTTGGCACTTCTTGTGACGTTCATTCATGAATTACCGTGTAGGGTCTGCTTTACGGTCACATTGGCCCAGCACAGATGATCACCACAATCAGACTGCATTATTATTTTGAGGGTCTCAACATAGCTGTTCATAACTTCTGTAAAAGTTGCCAGATTTGTGTTAGGTCCGTCACAGTCGAGCTATCGGCCTTCTCTCACAATTGAGTCCTGCCACTGAGCCATTCCAAATAATGCCACTTGACAATGTTGGTGGTTTTTTAGGGAATCGATCACCAAAGAATTATATGCACATTTTGGTAGACTATTTTAACAGATATGAATGACTGGATCTCGACTAGTTAAGGTCAGAGTGCTCAAGACTTTATAAATTTAATTTGGCCAATCGCTAAAAAGCATAATATTTCCATCATATTAGCCGATCAATATACTGACATAAATTCTACTTATTTTCAAAACTACTTGGTGTAAAATGATATACAAATTGTATTTACCTGCATCAACCAGCCAGAATCTAATGGGCTTAGTAAAAGATTAAACCAAATGCTTATGAATCATTTAAGATGTAAACTAAATAGTAAAACAAATAAAGCCTAGCCGGTTTCGCAAAGGAATGAGTCAGTGAGTATAATGATACACTTTATAGTTCCACACGATTTATACCATCTTACTTACTGCTCGGAAAAAAACAAGATATATCCCCTCTCTCTTAACAAAGTCTTCCCTTGAAGAAGATTGTAAAATAACTCTTCAAAATTCAATGAGAAACTTTCAAATAAATAAGAAGCGTGTAGATAGAAATTAATGCCATCATAATATTAACATTAGAGATTTGGTGCATATCGAAAATGGTAACAAAATGAATCGCAACCAACTAGACCCCATATGAATTGGACAATATTCAATAATTCACCAGATTTCACAGACATTTTATGAAGTGGAGAGTGGAAAGAGAAAGAAGATCTCCATCTTCTTTCATAAACTCCTTTCTTACTCTCCATATGATTCATCTTTAGGGGAAGAGATGTAAGCTCGCTACAGTGTACTACAACACTGTTGCAACCTTCAGTGTGTTATTATTTGTGTTATCTAATGACATATGATTGAAATAGTGATTATTAATTTGTACTAGTGAAACTATGTGTAATTCAATTCTTTGTACAAAGAATAAAATCTTGTTAAAACAACCTTGCATATAAATATATTTACTGAATTCTTTGTAGCTTTGTTTGTTAAATATTTAACTTATAAATTATAAAAGTTATAAGTTAACTTTGTTAAATTATAAAAAATTATTTTATGATTTTAGTTTATTTGTTTCTGAAATTAATATGACTTTAATAATTTGTTTATAATATTAAAATCTGTAACAACATAGCTCTTTTTGGTTAGTCATTATTCTAATAAACTTTGTCCTTGAGGGCATCTTTCTTTAGTATGTATTTTTAAAAATATGATTTAAATTTAAAAATGACTCAACTTTGTCTGGCTATGTTGTTACAGATATTAATATTATAAACATATTATTAAAGTCATATTAATTTCAGAAACAAATAAACTGAAATCATAAAATAATTATATATATTTAACAAACAAAGCTACAAAGAATTCAGTGAAAGTTTAGCTAAAGTATCATACCTCTTTTAATGAGTCATGACTGTCATTTTCTTTCTGTTCTTCTAAATCTTCATCAAGCACATCTGGTTTCTTATCTTTAATCTTTTTAATATTCTTTTTTGTTTTCTTTTGCTTAGTTTTGTCAAAATTGCTACGAGACTGATCCATATATTCTTTAATTAGTTTTCGACGATTAGCTCTAGCTTCATCAAAGGAGTCTTCCTTAATTGAATAAAAAGATAAAACAGCATATACAATTACAGAAGCTATGATTGAAAATACACCACACAGAACTCCTATTTGCATATCCATAATCATCCTGAAAAATTAAAATAACAATCAGTGCACAATATATATTTTTTTGGTTGGCACTATAGACCATTTAGATTAATATTAATAATTAAAATATATTTAAATATTATATATACTAGCTGACCCGTGCGAATACTTTGCACAAATCTTATATTTGTGTCAGATTTTAACATATTAAGAGCTCAGCACAAGTTCCATTCAATAATGTTTGATATGCAAAAGTTTAATACATATTTTTAGTAAGTTACCAGCTCATAAATATGATCTACACTCTGCCATGGTCAAACGCTTCCCTGGTTCATTAAACATATAATTTAAATATAGCTTTTTCTAGCACTGTATTATCATAAATTAACAAAAGCTTCTAAACATTGCTTAAAATATCTGATTACAGCAAAAGACAGAAGGCTCAAATTCTAAAGAAAGAGTAGTTGGACCTAACAGGCTATGCGTTACTTTACCATTAAAAAAAATTGAAACATCAAGTGAATTTTCAAAATGAAAAACTTCAATAACAAAGATCTAAAAGTAACAGCTAATATAATTGAAGCACATTGACAAAAAATCCAAGAAGTGTTCAATAGAAGACAGATTTATAAAAATAAAAATATAATTAATTTAACAAAATAAAATAATTACTAACTGATACATTATATACTGTGACTAGGGAAAAAGGGCTAATGCTGAAAATCTTAAATTACCTATGAGCAACAGAATCTTTGCAGTAGAATAAATAGTAAATGATTAAATCGCTATATCTCTGCACCAAATCGTCCAATTATGATTATTAGTTTTACGTTTTGTAGGGCATTTTTTCAGTAGAAAGTGACCTTTCAAATATTCATATGTATAATGGAACAAAAAATGTGAACTTTTCGAGTTATTCGCAAATAATAAATTCACCGTAATATCTCGTTTCGTTGACTTGGCATTCATTGTTCACATCTCAGCATTCGTCTACTTGACATCACGATTCCAAGATTGAAACCTCACACTTTTATTTAAGCCCTATTATAAAATTAGGACAATTAATCAAAATTTCGCATTCTACATATTTCCTATCTATTGATACCTCATTCGTCAAAGTCCATCAATCCTGAGAGGCAAAAAAGGGATATATATTCAGAAATAATATATATATATATATATATATATATATATATATATATATATATATTATATATATATATATATATATATATATATATATATATATATATATATATAAGTAGAAAATAAACTTTATTCTGGGACAAAGCCCCTTAAGAATAACAATTATGAACAAAAAACTATAACCATATCTGGCCAAAAACTACATTAATAAAAATCAAACAACATATAAAATATCTTCAGTGACAATATTAAACAGCAGAAAGTAAAAACATTTTGAAAAAACAAAACAAAACATAAGTGAAATAAAAATAAAAACAGAGATCAAGAAAAATAAAAAACAAATGTTATAAACACTAAATGTTGGTTCTTAAAATTAAAACTTAAACAATTTCAACAACCATGAACTTCGGTCAAAATTCAATTTATAAAATTATATCATGATTGTACAGCATCATTTAGGGATGTGAGTAGGAATTTGAATTAGAACAAGGAAGAGACATGGCGGATATCAGATGGCAAGGAATTCCAGAAGGCAGTGGATCAGGCAATAAAGAAATGTTCAAATGTTTTATTTCCATGGGGAAGGATATTAAGTTTAAAAACACGGGATCTTGTTTTCTGGGAATGGACTGTAGGAGACTGTAGATTTAGGAAGGGTGCCAGGATTGGTCGTTTGGAATAGGCAAGTATGTGTGTATACACATATATATTTATTATTTTTTTTTTCGGTTGGCTCTACAGACCTTGTAGATCTTTGGCCGTCTTAACTAGCACATCTGCCTATCTTGAGATACTGCTTTCTAGTTTGTGGCATGAAGCTCAGCCGTATGTTTGTTTATCCTATCTATCCAACTGGTTTTTGGCCTCCCAAGTGGTCTCTTGCCTACTATTCTGGCATTCATTGTTGTGTAAAGGCGCCCTGATGGATTGCTACAAGCTGCATGCCCCACCCATCTTAACCTCCTTGCCTTCATGTCATGAGATATTGACTGACCTGTTTCTTTCAGCAGTTCTTTATTGTTCCTTCTCCTCCATGTGTCAAGGTTCTGGTCCCATATAGGTCCTGTTGATCTAGCGTACTTCTCCCTCTCCTGAATCCTGTTTTTATATATATATATATATATATATATATATATATATATATATATATATATATATACCAATATATATATATATATATATATATATATATATAGATCGTTTGGAATAGGTAAATATGTGTGTATATATATCGTAAGAATACGTTTCCTTTGAAAAGTAAACAAAACAGTTTCTGAATCAAATATTTATTTTAAACAATAATTAATTCTCAGGTTGGGTTGAGACAACAAACACACATTCCTCAATTATAAATATAAAATCACACATTAATAGGACATAACATTTTTATGAATTTCCATTGTTTTGTTGGAGTCTACTCTTGGCGCGTTTTCTAACTGTCACTATTTTTATTTCACTTACCCTGTTCTGCAGTGAATCTTCCTCTATATTGTTTTCTTCAACTTCTACAATTTTCTCTTGTTCTTTTATTTTCTTGTCTTCGTCTAGACACTCACTACTTGTTAACTGACATTTTCTTCTAACGATCCTCTTTACTAGCCGGCTGGCTACATTCTGACTCAACATATGGCATTTGCTTCCCCTTCCATCTGTCTTTGTCCATTTGTGACAGTAGTTCGTGATGTCACTGCCTTCGCGCCATTTTTCAAAATTACTATGTAATATTTACATTACAATCTGTATTTATTTATTAAGATGTATTGACATTTAATAATAATAAAAGGCTGAGCGAACTCGGAGGTTCGATGGCAACACCATCAATCGCTTATTACAAACCTCCCTCCACCGTTCGCTATCCAAACCCAGTCCCTTCAGATTGGCTTTAACGCAATCTTCCCACCTTCGCTTCGGTCTACCTCTCAGATGTTTACCATTCAGTACAGGAATTCTTTCGTTACTAAGCCCATCAATTTTACAAGCTCATTTGATTCGCCGTGATGTAATCATCTCAATTATATTAAAACTGGCTTGCGTGATACAGTTGCGATGATACTTGAGTGATACACTGGATACAGTTCACGCAACTCGGTGTTGTGCAACCTTCTGAACTCTATGGTTAATTCATCTTTCTTCGGTCCGAATATTCTACGCAATATTTTATTTACAAAAACCTTAAGACATTGCTCATCCCTCAATGTAAGCGGCCACATTTCACATCCATAAAGAACTGTAGGCAAGATAATTGTTTTATAGATTCTAATTTTTAAGTTCCGGGACAAGAGGCGCGAACTAAGTAGTTTTGTCACAGAAAAATAACAAGCATTTCCCGCCTTCAGTCTAACCTTAATCTCTTCTTCAATTTCGTTTTTTGTAGTTATCGTAGAACCTAGATACCTAAATTTCTCTACCTGTTCAAAAATATTACCATCTATATCGATATCACTAGTAGTATCACCATTTTTGCAGCTAACCATATATTTTGTTTTATCCACGTTTATTTCGAGTCCTAGTTCTTTACCGGCTTTCATTAACGTTGTCGTATTTAGTTTTATAGTTTCAACGTCTTCGCTTAACAGTACCAGATCATCAGCATAGCCCAGCATGGATGTTGTCTCGCCCAGATCCAACCCTCTCTCGGTTCACATTACCTCCCTAATGGCATGTTCTAATGCCAAATTGAACAGGACAGGCGAAAGAGAATCCCCCTGTTTTAAATGATGAAGATCTGTGGAAAGGGGTGTAAAGGTCAGAAGGACAAGATCTTGTGGAGAGGGTGTGGATAGATGATTTGAATTGAAGGAGATTGTATGCGTAGGACGGACAATGATTATTGATTATTTGTTAAAGGAATGTGCCTAGGAAATGTTTTACAACAAGGGGTAAATACTGTGGGTCTACTCTACCCCCGAGCCCACGGGGGCGTGGGTCATCATCAGGGCTGAAAATTGTTTTAATACAATCAGAGGTATAATATTATACGACTGATAATGGTTAATAATAAAAAATATAGTGATTTATGATACATGAAATCGAAAAATGGAATATTTAAAAAGTTATACAAACTGAAAATAATTATATAATCAATTTATAAAAAAGTGTAATACTTTCTCTTACTAAATGTGTTTCGAGCACTGGAAGTATTCGAGTACTAACACTTTGGTAGATAAGTAAAAGGTTCGGGGGAGGATTTCCCAGATGTGCTTTTTCAGATAGCAAAAGGTATGTAAATATGATCAGAGGGGAGTAACATTTCTGTTTGTAGAATGCAAATAATTTGCTGACTAAATTATTCAAGATGTATACAAGATATGCGTTGTTTCTCTTAGTTACAAAATTGTGACAATTGGCTAGTAATAAAATGAACATAAGCAAGAAATGCCAATCAATATAAACATAACATAGTTTGATTGAAGGTATACAATAGTTAGCTGAATAATGGTTATAATACAATCATCATAAATAATATAAGATATAAATCATTGTCAGGCTTGTAGACAACGGTAACACAACTGTCGTTATGGATTGCGCCCAGTACAATGATAAATTATTTGCACTCCTTTCCATCCAAACCATCTATCCCCCCACAAAACATGACCCTACACCATCTCTCGCAACCAAATTTAACCAACATCTAAAACGCCTCGATACCAAACAAATTAAAATCCCTACCTTTAGAAATCTCATCTATTATAATCCCGGTGCTACGGCTTACCGAAAATCCATAAACCAGGCAATCCTCTCCAACCTATCATTTCTAACATTAACTCTTCATCCTCTTAACTCAATAAATTTATTCTCCCTATCATCCAGTCTCTCAGTTAAAACAATCCTTGAACATTCCACCACATTTCATCTGAGCCTCCCTTGATTTTCTCAGGTTCATACTGCAATCCA